ATATCTTCAGATAGTTATTTCGTTTATATATGCAGATAGTTATAATTATTGTTAGTAGATTTCTAAGTTGTTTTTCTATGAGAATAGACTTCCAGGCTTAGATCTACTTTTCTAGAACTCAGTTTGGATCTATGAAAGTTCCTCATTATAGAAAATAAGAGGCAGTGGAAGGAAAACTGGATGAGACAAGATCTGCATGATCTGAGAATGATGGAGGAAGAGAGAACCGCCTGTTTAACCTGCATTTATTAGCTGGTTTTCACTGGTAGCTCCAAATATTGTGGAGATTAAACTTTTAGTATTTAATCAGGTGAGACAACAATAATAATCATCATCATAATAATAATAATAATAATAATAATAATAATAATAATAATAAGCCTGATGAGATTCTATGTGTTTGGAGGGATTTTGTTTGGATTGTGTTTATTTTAGATAACTGAAAAGGATAGGAGTTAAACTTTATTGATCTACAGAAATTCCCTCTGCATCTAACCCCTCCCCTTGGGGAGCAGTGGGCTGCCATTGTGTGGCACCTGGTGAGCAGTGAGGGGTTAAGGGTCTTCCTCAGGGACCCAGAGTGCAGTCTGTGGGGATGGAACCCGGTACTGCAACCTTCTCAGGGCAAAAGCTGCTCTAACCTCTGGGCCATCATTCCTCCAGACTGATAGAAAGCAGACTGAATGAGAGCGGTGGGAAACAGGACCACTGATGGAAGCGTTTAACAGAGAGCAGGCAGGAGTCGGCTAGAAAGAAAAGCAGATGGAGAGGCTCAATGGTCAGATGGCACTAATAAACACCATTAATCTAATGAAATAGGAGAGGAACCTTCCTGGATTTCACCCTTCTTGTTGTTCAAATATTTATAAACATGTTAAAATGGATGAAAGCATCACTGTCTCCGTTTCTCCTATTTTAATTTTGATAAGTTTTTATTTCTATGTATGGGCTGAAATGTCTTTAGGTTGGATTTCAGGGATCTGGTCACTTAATGTTTTATCTGCTGCGTCACAACTGGCCATAAGAACCTCCCAGCTGCCCCACTTAGGACTGAGGCAAGGCAAGTTTATTTGTATAGCACAATTCAGTACAAAGACAATGCAAAGTGCTTTACATGATTAAAATATAGGAAAATAAAACAGAATCCAAGCAAGTAGGAAAAAATTAAATAAAATAGAAAGTGCAGAAACAAAAAAGAATATTAAAAACAGTTGGACTTAAGAAAATAAAAAAGTTGAATTAATGATGTTTTAGTTGAATTGTTTAACTAGAACAGTGGAAGGCAATCCTAAACAAATGTGTTTTTAGTCTTGATTTAAAGGAACTCAGGCTTTCAACACTTTTACAGTTTTCTGGAAGTTTGTTCCAGATAAGTGGAGCATAGGAACTAAATGCTGCTTCTCCATGTTTAGTTCTGGTTCTAGGT